CGACCAACATTAACATCTTTGACGGCTGTGGTTAAACATTTGGGCGGCGGCTTCGAAACTAAAGTAGGCTGGTTAAATTTACAAGAATTCGTTTTCAAAATGTAATTTTTGTCAGATTTTTCTTATTATTATGATAATATATTTAAAAGTAAATAATGCAATAAATAGATAAATTAAATCGAAAAATATATTTAAAAAAATTTAAGTTGATTAAACCCGTATAAAATATATATTGACAATTAAGTTTAAAAAATATTAATTTTTATACATATATTTTTTATTTTTAGGTTTTCTAACAAAAATTTGCAGTTAAAAATGTAAGTACATATGTATAATATTTAAAAAAAAAAATATTTTCTAGTTGTTTTTTTTTTTCTTATGAATAAGGAGATTTTATTATGGAAAAATTTCTGCTCTAGGTACTATTTTTCTAGAAAATTCGCCGATTTTCTTTACTTTCGATATGTCTTTAAAAATATTGATCACATTTTTGAGTTTGTTAGGGCAATCTACTTTTTTCTGGAAAATGTTGTATATTCGATTGTTCGAAAATCGACTTTTTAGCCCCAAGTTTTTAATATCACAAAAAAATTAGTTATTATGCGGCTGCAGAGCAATACAAAGTAATGTTATGTTACTAACATAACATTTTAATGCAATAACATTAAGTTTTAACAGTTTTAGAAGCTCTGCTTGCTTAACTTCCGCCTCTTGAGCGGAAGTTACATTTAGCTTCCGCTTTATTAGCGGAAGTTATAGTTAACAGTAAGTAATTCTAAACTGTTTTCATTACAGTTTTAGAGCCATTCATTTAAATAAATGTAAACATTAACAGTTTTAGAAGGCTTTAAGGAAAAAATGTAAACATTAACAGTTTGAAAAGCATTACATTATAAAACTGTAAATATTGACAGTTTGAGAGCATTTGCTTTAGTTTGCAAAGTTTTTTCATTACAAATGGCGGTATGTGCTAAGAAAAATAATTGTATTTGAAGAAAAAGTGGAAAAATTAAGTTATAAATTAAAAAATTAAGTGATTAAGGAAAAAATTTTATAAACTAATAACAAAGTTATAAAAAAATATATTTAGTTTGTTATTTTTAAAAAGATTTATGGGTTTTTGCAGCAAAGCTTTCAGAGCAAGTGTTGACACTTTACAAATAAGTTAAAAAAAAGTTGAAATAAAAGTTTAATTATTAAAAAAATTAGTGATAAATGAAAAAATATTTATGAGCAACAAGTTTTTGGAGTATTTTAAAAAAATAATTGTAAAATTTTAAGGAAACTAATAAGCAAAGTAAAGTATTAGCCAGGCCTTCTAAATTTTTTACAAAAAATTTAATAAATGATTAAATAATAAACAATTTTGTAATAAATAAAGTTAATCATGTAATAATTAATATCTTGAAAGTATTTCGTAAATAAATAACTTTTAAATACATTAAATCCGGACGCAATGTATGAACAAAGAAATGATTTGCTCTCCGGCCAAAGAATCTTGGAATTGTGTAATTAGAATATAAAGTTTTGGTGGAAATTATTAACAATTTGGTGATAATTCTATAAAAACAAGTTGTGTAAGTAATTTATTTTTAAAAAGTACTAATACAATGGCACGTTTTAGCCCGGGCTAATAGGTATATCGCATAAATCTTTAAATAAAAGTTAAAAAGTAAAAAAATAACTACAACCTATGGCAACAAATAAAGTTAATTGTGTAAATATGTAACAATAAAGTTATCTCAACTTTTTCAAACACGTTAAAAATGAATGAATATCTATTGAATTGAATAAAGGAAGCAAAAGATTTGACCCGACCGGAGCATTTTGGAAAGTGCAAACTTTTTGCTAAAGAAAAGTGTTTTGCCACGACTGCTTTTCATTAAGCCAAATGCTTTAAATTTTCTTTAAATAACTTTTATTTACAAAAATCTCCATAAATTATCATTTCTACGCATTATGAGGCTTAGCATAAGCGGGAAAATTGAGTTTTAAACCATCTTTAGCCTCAAAGAAAGTATACGACAACGTAATAGTGTCCACATTTTCCAGTTTAGGATCTTTAACATACTCGGGATCAATATAAAAGAAAACCGGCATGTCCACCTAATAGACAACAACAAAACAAACATTAAACAAGGTAAGTCTTTTTTAATAAATTTCTTGAACAAACCTCTTCATGGGGATTTAATTGTTGCTCCTCAAAACAAAAACATTGTATTTTATTAAAATAAGCTCCGGCCTCAAAAGGTATAACATTATAGGTACTAATACCTATTACAGGTAGATCTGTAGGATTTTTAGCGGTATAAAAAGCCAAAGCAGTCTCGCCGGGAGCCACTTTTATTTCATATTGTTGGGGTTTAAAATTCCAACGCATAGAGGCTGCTAAATCAGC